TTTCCATATATTTGACTTTATTTCCTTGCTCTTCTTATTGTTGATTTCTAGTTTTACAGCATTTTGGTCTGAAAAGATGCTTTGTTGTGTTTTAATGTTTGCAAATTTATGGAAGCTTGCTTTGTGATCTAACACATGGTCAATTCTGGAGAATGTTCCATGTACACTGGAAAAGAATGTGTATTGTGCTGTTGTTTTGTTGAATGCTCTGTACATATCTATGAAGTCAAATTGGTTGATTGTGCTGTTAATTCCTCTGTATCTTTGTCGAGTTTCATTCTGGTTGTTCTATCCCTTTTAGAAAGTGACATATTAAAATTTACCACTATAATTGTAGATTTATCTATTTCTTTTTTCAATTCTAGTAGGGTTTGCTTTATATATCATGGTGTTCTTTCATTGGGAGTGTGAATATTTATTATGGTTATGTCATCTTGCTCAATTGACCCTTTAATCATGAGATAGTGTTCTTCTTTATCTCTTATGCTGGTTTTTGTCTTGAAGTTTATTTTATCAGGGATTAGTATTGCCACTCCTGCTTATTTTTTTATTGCAATTATCTTGGTATATTTTTTTCCATCCTTTAACTTTTAGTCTGCTTTTGTCTTTATGTGTCGCTTGCAGGCAGCATATTGAAGAGTCTTGTTTTCTTATCCATTCATCCACTCTGCGTCTCTTCACTGGTGTATTTCATCCATTGACGTTCAGTGTATTTATCGATGTTGTTGTTGTTGCTAAGTGCTGTCGAGTCAGTTCTGACCCCTAGTGACCCTGTATATGGTTTACAAGGAGTGACTGATGAGCTTGAACCACCAATCTTGTAGTTCAAAGGACTTTGCAGTCTGGTGCATTAACTCACTGCACTTTGTCTTTGATGCTGTCATTATGTTAATTTTCTGTGGTGCTGTTCATTCCTTTGTTCTGCATGCCTTCTTGTGCTGAGTTCTTTCTTATGTGCTATTTCTTGTCAGGTTCTTCTTAGTTTTAATGTTTCCTTGATCTTCTTGGATCTTCATTTTCATGGAAAGTTGTGAAGTATTAATTTTCTTTGGGGTTACCTTATAGTCTATTAAATTTTCCCTCCATTTAAGACACTCTATTGTATCCTGCATTCCACCTAATCTCCTCACCACCAGGATCTTTTTTCCCTTCTTTGACATTGCTATAATTTTGATCTTTGATTACCTTTACAAGTCCTCTAAATTTATTGTTGTAATTTTGTTCTGTTCTGAGCTCTGTTATCTGTTGACTGAGTTCCAGGTGGTGTTGCCACATTGTCAATCTCTGGTTGTTGTCTGTTCTTGTTAATTTTCAGTCCAAAGAACTCCCTTTAGGATGTTTTGAAGTGCTAGATTGGCTTTGATAAAATATCTTAGCTTCTGTTTATCCTGGACTGTTTTGATTCCACCATTGAATTTGATTGACAGTTTTGCTGCATAGATGATTCTTTGTTGGTAGTTTCTTTTTCTTTTAGGGTTTTATATATGTCGTCCCATTGTCTTCCTGACTCCATGGTGCCTGCTGAGAAGTCAGAGCTTCATCTGATTTGCTTGCCTTTGTAAGTACCACTTTTAGGATTCTCTCATTGTCTTTGATTTTGGATAGCTTGATTATGATATGATATGATTATTATGATATAATTTCTTTTTGGGTCTATCCTCCCTGGGGTTTGTCCAGCTTTTTTAATGCTTATCTTCTCATCCTTTAAGATGTTGGGGACATTTTCTTCCAGTATTTCCTCAACTGTCTCCTCTGTGGACTTCTGTGATTCTTCCTGTTCCAGAATGACAATAATTTTTAAGTTATTCCTCTTTATGTTATCCAGCATGAATCTTAGACTCTCTTCAGATTTTTTTATCCATTTTTCTGCTTGCTCTTCTATCTTAGCGTATTGAGAGATTTGCCTTCCAACTCGCTGGTTCTGGCTTCCATCTCTTCAATTCTACTCCTTTGCCCTTTCAGTGTATTGTCCATTTCTGCTATTTTATTATTAATCATCTGGACCTCTTTTTGCAGATTTTGAATTCTTTACAATGCTATATTTATCTTTTTTGATTACTCCTGAGCACTTTCCTGACTTCTTCCTTATTTTCCTCCACCCCTCTGTGCAGTATTTAAAATTGTCTTCATACCATTTGTCGGAATTCCTTCTCAGACAGATCCAAAGTCTGCTCTTCTTCTAATAGGAAGTCTATGTCTGCCTCCAGCTCACTTTTCTCAGTTACTCTTTTCTGTTTTGGGACATGTGCTGAGATAGTTTGTTGTTATTTCTTGGGCATTTTCAATCATTAGATGCAATTTCAATGATTAAATGAATGTATGATGCTGGGTTGTTAAGCTTACTGAGTGTCTCCTGGTGAATGTGATCTGGAGATAGGTTTCCCTTTTCACATGTGATGCCTAGCAGCTGGTATTGGCTCCTTTATGGATGGTGGGATATTATTTTTGTGGCTTAGTTATATGGCCACGATTGCTGTTTCTGTTTGGGTAACATATGGAGAGAAAACTCCCACTTCCAGGAAAAATGTGAGACGAAAAGTACCAAAAACAGAAACAATATAAAAGCAGAGACCGAAACCACCACTCATAAACAAAAATAAAACTGTAGCCAACTGTCCAGTAGCCTTTACTATGCAAGACAGTGTGCCTGCACAGTAGAAATCTCCAGTGGTGGGTGGTGGTGTCCAGTTGCTCAGGCTGCTCCTCTAATTACCACTGTAGAGGTGCGCCAATAGATACTGAGAAATGAATGGAAGAAATATTGTCCATTATTTTTATCTCTGAAGGTCATTTATGTATTTGCATATGCACAGTGTAATTCTCAAAATAGCTGCATTCTTGTATATAATAGTTGGTGTTGGCTCTTGCCTTTTATGTTGGGGTTTTACAAGGTGCATATATGATTTGTCTGTATGGCCACACCTGCTGTTTCTTGTTAGGTAAGGCAGGAATTAAGGGTCTTGCCTAGGTAAACTTTAGGCTTGAGTCCCAGAGTAAGACATCATAAGAAGCAGACAAAGGATCAGCCTGTGTGACCACTGGGGCTCCCAGGGACCTCCTCCCTGTGATGTGGGAAAATTGTGGACACAATGCTGGACCCTTTTGGGGGTGTGCTCCCAAATGCCTGAAGGTGTCTGGGGCTGGGCAGAAAGGGTGTGACAGGGGAGGGGAGGAAAGAAAAGTGTAAAATCTGTCACACCTCTTTTCCCAGAGGCTGCTCCACGGTTTTTAGTGCTGTATCACTGTATCAGCCTGGCTGCAGCCCCATCCTCTGATCTCAGCCCAGGCCAAGGGGCCCACAGGTAGGCTCCCAACTGATTCAGAAATCACTGTGCTTTCCTTCCACAGTCAGATTTCTCCACCGGTGGTAGTAGGAAACCGACGCCCTGCACCTTATATTAGATTCCAAACTCTGGAGCTTCCACGGAAAGCCTTTTTCTGGTTTTTCCATGCCTCTGCTAGAGGAGCCTCTCCTACCTGTCTCTGCTTCTCCTGCCCCACACCAGAAGTCTACTCCATAGTCTTCTAATTTAATAGTACATGTTACCAACCTACAAATATCAGAATTCTTATAGGAGTAGTTCCCTATGTGAAAGTAGAGAGACAGAAAGGTTCTTCTTGTATGTCACAGCAATTTCATTATCTCAATTAAATCAAAGGAAAAAAGAAAACTAAAACAATAACCTGTGACAAGGGAAAATTCAGAACATTATCTACTGCTTTAAAGTACATTCAAGGAATTATTATCCAAGTGTGGTTATAGTCTGATGTCTGCCAATCTATATGTGTTAGTGATTAAAGTTTAAAATCTACTTCTGTAATTCTTCTTCCAGGACAGATACAAATCCAAAGAGCAGACCTTCAAAGAAAGAAATAATAACTGAATATGTATTTCTTGTTCCAATGTAGTTCATTGTGGCTGAAGGGATTAAGATAATTGTTTTGCTTGGTTTTTTTTTTTTGTTTAATGGATTAAGAAGACCTTAGGGATAATAAACTTTAGTGTACTATGTGCTACTACTATACTTTATTCCAAAGCATGACTTAAATCTTTAAATGGCACCATATCTACCATTTTCAAATGTCTTTCTTCTGGTAAGCATTTGAGTTTGATACTTCTGGTATTTAAAGTGGTATCACTCACATAGCACATTTTAGAATTTTCAAGGAGGAAAATTTCAACAAATGCAAAACACATTGCAGAAGTTTAAATATAGACACTGCTACAAGGTCTGTTCTACAAAGAGCTGGGGATAATGTGGTGTGCTTCTGGATGGCTGATGGCATCAGAGCAGCTTCTATATTGTTTATACAAAGTTATTCTCATGCCACTCATGTCTGAGTGCAGAATCTTTAGGTAATATAATGAGGTTTCTAATAGTATGCCCTAAAGTATTCAAAATTCCAGAGAAAACTTTTCTTGACATTTGAATAATCTTAAACGCTATCACTCATGATATGATGACTATTTGGAAGCACTGCTTTATTCAAACTGAATGAAACTCTAGGATACTGTCAAAAAAAGAAAACTTCTCTCCATACCTTCCTTGCAGTCATGTTTATTCTCATGCAGCACAAATCCATTACGACACTGACACATGTAACTTCCCATTGTGTTGACACATTCGTGTTGACACCCGCCATTGTCCTTAGAGCATTCATCTTTGTCTAGCAAAGAAATAATTTCAATGTTTAGTAAGTAGCTTTAAAAAAATAAAACAAAAACAACTTATCAAAGTATATACATTTAGTCGTGATTAAGACTAACAGAGGATAAACTTTAGTTTATTCCCCTATTTCTAATGTGAAACAAACACAAATTTATGTGTCTTTGATTTTACACATTCATTATTTAGCTTAAACTTTGTACCATGGGTTTACTTTATAAGACTGACCACTTGAAATTCTCTTTCATTCCTGTTCTGGAATAATATTTTTGAACACGAGAAAGGGAAACTCAACTGGTCTTTTTTCAACATTTTATTTTGAGTCCTGGGGTGATGTGGTAGCCTAAGCATTAGACCACAAGGTGCATCTGAACTGCAAGGTCATTGTTTCAAACTCACCAGCTGCTGTTTGGAAATGCTATACAAAGTAGCTGTAAAGTCTGCTAACTAACTCCACTGCACTTACCAACAATAATCACCATTTATTATTAATTTTAACATTAAGTAAGAGTTGTGAGCATCTTGAATTAAGGTAACAAGTGACATTTAAGTTGAAAATCTTTCATTATGTGAACCATGGTATAAAGAAAAAAGCTAAAGAATTTTCCAACATTTGTATGTAATCACTTTTTAAAAAATCACTCAGTAATACACTGTAGTTGATTTTTTTTTCATTAACTTTGCAGTTGTATTCAGCATTAATTAATCTAGACATTTCATAACATTACAAGACAGAAAGAAGTATTGTAATAGCATTCTAACAAAGAAATTCAATTTATATTTTTTAAACAAATCTAATCTGGCAGTCCTGTTTATTAGTTAGTAAGTAATCCTCTTGAAGAGCTTTTAGTGTGCTGGAAATCAAATAGAGGTTAGAATAGGAAATCTAAGCTTTAATAAATAGCCAACAAATTCACTACAGGGAAAAAAGCCAAACAAGATTAGCAGGCAGGCAGTCCATTGACAGGCATCAGCTTCTGCACTATGCCACTCAGCTGTCCTGTCCATTAAAGTAACAACTGGCAGACTGTTCCTGACAAACATACATGATGGCACATGACTCCGATTTTCACATTCCCACAACATAAAGAACAAAAGGAAGGTGTTACAGTCATGACAGAGTTTGGGCTAGATCTAAAATTTACAGTATTAACTTATTTCACTACTAAGAACTATTGAGCTTATGGTAGTATCAAAGCATGCTTTTATTTTTAAAATATTTTTAAAAGATTGTAAATTAAGTGAGGGTTTACAGGACAGATCAGTTTTCAATTAAAAATGTATAATCTTTTGCTTTCTCTCATTAACTTCAATCCCTGAAAATTCACTTATCCCATTCCTTCTCTGTTTCCTATTCCCATTCTTCCCTTCCTAACCTTTCTAAATTTTGCCCTTGGAAAATAATTTTTTTTTTTTAAATCCCAAATTGTTAATTATTTTAAGTTGTCCTTACTCCCCAGTGTTACTGTTTCCCTTATAGACTTGACCATTGTATGGATGAAAATTGAGTCAAGGGGTGAATTCATTTCTGGACCTGAAGGGAGTCTAAGGACCAGAGTCTCTCTTTGAACAGTAAAACTTGTCCTTGTTTATGATTTTGAGTTATATTCCACAATTTTCTCCCATTCTATCCAAGACTTTTTAATGTGATCCCTTTCCAAGTACTTGGTAGTGTGAGCTAGGCACCATCTAATTCTTCTGGTCTCAGGGTCATGGAGACTGATGTTATTGTGCTCTGTTGTTAGTCCACTGGACTAAGTGTTTCTATGTATCTTTGATTTTCATCAGTTGTACCTTAGATGAGTGCTCACAAACTTTTAAGACTACAGTTGCTACTCACCAAAGCAGGGTGTAGAACAATGCCTTTGTTGATTATGTTATGTCAATTGAATTTGGTGTCCTCTGAGACTATGGTCCTAAGGTCCCAGGCCTAATGACTCATTCCTTCAAAATATTTGGTTGCATCTAAAATATTTTCATAACTTTGTTGCTAATATGCTCCACACATTAATGGATATATTTTCAGCAAAGGTAAACACCCATGTATAATTATCCTCTGTAAAACCTATATATATTTATGGGAATACTGTTACCTTTCTCTTACATTTGTTCAGCTTGTGTGTCTATCCATGCATCTACTTATAGATCACCAATAGTGCATGATTGTGTACATATATCTGTTTTTAAGTCAGTTGGCTTTAACTCTTATACTTCTTCCCATGTCTTCCCTGCCTCTATCATTTTTTTGCTACCATGTGTTAACTTGAATGAAGGTAATGTACTTAGCTTTTATATCAATCAATATTTTTAAATAAATTTATTCAAATAAATATTCTTTCTATGAAAATGTGCTTAGGAAAGACATTTTCACTGAGGAATCTGACAAATTTGATCATTTTTAAGGATGCATCTATTTTTCCACTTTTGGAGATAATCTATATATTTTAATGAGACATATTCATGTATAGGCAGTATCAGAAAACCTCAAATATATACAGATATGCACAGAGTTTTACAGAATCTAACAGAATCAGAATTTATATATCTTAAAGGATAAGCACTGGACTACAAGGTCAGGGTTTGAACCGCAAGGTTGGTGGTTCAAACTCAACAGTCGTTCCTCATAAACTCTACACAGGGTCACTATGAATCAGAACCAATTTGATGACATTTAACAACAACAACAACAACAAAAATATCAGACATATAAGGGCCCTGATAGCCTAGTGGTGATGCACTGGGCTGTTAACAGCAAGATCAGCTGTTTGAATCTATCAGACACTCTGTGGGAAAAAAACGAGGATTTCTGCCCATGTAAAAACTTATTGCCTCAGAAACTCTATACAGGGTCGCTATGACTCGGAACTGACTACATGGCACTAAACAACAAAACAACAGATATTATGTGGTGTAGTTGAATTACTTGGTATGGCTTTTCTAGCCACAGTCTTTGTAACTCCCATCAAATGACTGTGTGGACCTATGATAATATAGTGTATGGAACTCTAACATGGGGATAATTTCGCTATCTCATTGGGTATAATATAAGCACCACAAAAAAGAATATGAAGTTTCCACAACCATCAAGAAAGAAGGGCCATGAGCTTTTGGATCTGGAAATCCCTGGGTAGAGAAGTGGCAGAGGCAGCATCACTACTACCACCAAGAGCATGAGGCATCATGCCCATTGAGTGAGTAAAGCCGAGTACCTTCAGCCAGGAGGTTAGGCTGCAGAATGGGAAGCCCTGTGGGGAATTTATCAACAGTGCTGAAAGAGCATTGTAACACCTTCCTGTGCAGGCCAGAGGCCAAGGAACCATGTGGCCTTGAGGCCAAGTACAAGACAGAGAGAGGTACGCCTGTTGGAATGGCTTAGAAGAGAGGTGTGCCTGACCTGCAGGACAGTATTCTAATCCTGAATCTTACTCTGTTTACTTCCCAAATAAACAAAATAATCTTGAGTATTGTCCATGAGTTCTGTTTGGCCACTGCAATGGATTATCAAGCCCAGCAGAATAATAGAATGTGCTGTGGGAGAGATGGTTGGTGTCAGAATTGGTAAGGAAGGGTGGAAGGTGGAAGCATATTTTCCTATGAGGGGAAGCCTCATAGGAATTGGCCTTGGGTTGATTTGAGTTTAATGATCCTTTCCCATTGTGAAGTGACAGGACGGCATATGGTGCTTTCCAAGGTAGCGTAGTGGTTACGAATTGGGCTGCGAACCTTAAGGTCAGCGGTTCAAAACTACCAGTCGCTCCGCGGGAGAAAGATGAGGCTTTCTACTCCCGTAAAGATTTACACCCTAGGAAACCCTGTACAGGGTCGCTATGGGTCGGACCCGACTCGATGGCAATTAACAACAACAACAATGGGGAAAAGAGTACAATAGATGATAGTTTTTAAGCGTCTGATATACTTTAACTTCACTTTTTTTAGAGGAAAGGAAAATCAAGATCAACAGTCCAAAGCTGATTCCTATGAAGTAGAATTAAGACATGTCTCCAACCTCTTACCTTTTTGCCAATTCTGACACCAAATGTCACTCTCATGTCATACTCTACATTTTTGCTTGTCTTGACAATTTGCTCCAATGGCTATTCAGAACTCATAAATAATACTTACAATTTGGGGTTTATTAAGGAAATAACACATGGTAACAGTAGTGAGGTTGGCCCATGATCTGGCAGAGTTTCCTTCTGTTGTGCATAAGGTCGGTATGAGTTGGTACCAACTCGATGGCACCTAACAACAACGAGGAAATAACAGGCTACAATTCAGGGTGGGAACATTCAGAATATAGTTCTTTGATCAAAATGTCCTCTTCATAGTAGTGCCTGCAGGCAAACCTCTCTCTGGCTCTCAGCACCTGGGGATGGTCTTTGCCATGCTTGGGTTAGTTTAGGCACTTAATTAAGTGCCTAAAGGCACCACATCCCATCAGTGAGCCTAGGCAAAATGTGCTCAGCTCTATATCCTTAGGTTTGCAAACCAACCTCCACCAATAAATGCCCAGAGATACTTCATTCTACTGGCAAACCTGCTGACCTAAAGCTGTCTGCTTTCTCATTCCATGGAACAAAAGTCCAGTGCTCTGTCTTGTGCCATCCTCTTTCTTTTGCTGCCTTTATTGCTGCCATTTTTCTGCCACTCCTTTTCACTATCTTTCACTATCTCAAGTATCATAGCTTTCTGCCTCCACAATGATGGAGGTTCTCTGCTCAAAGATTCTGGGTATCAGTGACATGCTCCACTCCGGGCTCTTCTTTCTTTGTGGTTATTGAGATTCATTTTAAGCCTAGTGGGATGGCAAAACAGATGAATCCCCAAATTACAATTTCATACACCTTATTTTCATGATTCCATCCTGACATGGATTCCATGTGCCTTATTTACATTATTAGCGAGCTGTCTCTTGGTGGGCTGAGAGCACCTCACATTTGCATATTATTACTCATTCACTGAGTCAGGGTATAATGCTGTAGGATAAGCCCGGCACAGCTA